CGTCTCACATACTTTGGAGATGTTATCAGGAGGGATCAGTCCCTGGAGAAGGACATCACGCTTTCTAAAGTAGAGGGTCAGCGAAAAAGAGGAAGACTCTCAATGAGATAGACTGGCACAGTGGCTGCAACTGGGCTCAAGCACAACAATTACTTTGGGGATGGCGCGGGACCGGGCAGTGTTTGGTTCTGTTGCATATAGGGTCGCTATGAGTTGGAACCGACTCAACAGCACCTAACAACAACAGGGACGGGAGGGAGCGGGGAGGGGGAGAAAGGTGGGTTAACAGTGATGGAAAAAATCAAATTGATTAAGAGTAGCGTTTCACGTTTGATTATTGTAATTAACTGTCAATAAGTTGTATACCTGTAAAAAATTGAATTAGCAAAAGCTGTGTGATAGATAAATTTACAACAAAGAGTAGCTGCTGAGGCTGCGTATGTACAGCTAAACACCTCATGGGATTTGGTTCCTTGGTTTGGAGGTTTAGGGTCATGGTTTCATGGGACATCCCAGTTAACTGGACTAATAACATGTTTAGTGCTCCTGTTCTAGTTTGTTACATAGTGCCTGGGGTCTTAAAGGCTTGCAAGCAGCCATCCAAGGCACAACAATTAATCTCTATTCACCTGGAGCAACAGAGGAGGAAGGAGAGTCAGGAATAGAAGGAGGACATGGAACGTGTGGCTAATTGCCTCCATGAACATCTGCCTCCTTTGCCATGAGACCAGAAAAACTGGATGGTGCCTGGCTACTGTTACTGAACGTTTTGATCAAAGATTCTAGAGAAGAATCCTGATCAATAGGGAGAAAATGCAGAGCAGAATTACAAATTTGCATGGACTCCTGACTTCCTGGAGCCATGAAGGTTGGATGAACCTCAAACTATTGGCCTGAGATAACCTTTAAACCTTAAACCAAAAATATTCCCTGAAGTCTTCTTAAAACCACACAATAGTTTAGCTTAATTAATAAAAAAATGTCTGCCTTGAGCATTACGCTGTTTTAAAAACTGTATGGGATCAAATTTATAACAGCAATTCGAAAGATTACATAGGAACTTTAGGAGGCAGTGAATTTATATTAATAGGGGAAGAACAACTCAAAAAAGGAGAGTGAGAATGGTTGCACAACTCCGAGAATGTAATCAATGTCACTAAATGGTACATGCAGAAATTTGAACTGGTGTACGTTTTGCTGTGTATATTCTTAACAACAACAAAATAAATAAAATAGGGCTTTTTGTATTTAATGAGACCATGTGTGCAAAGCAGTTGTGTAGGATTAAGCCCCAATAAATTGAAGCTC